CTCCTATTTTTGACCTTCATTCACTCATTTATTTATCATCCATTCATTTATTCATCGATTCTTGGCATAACTAACTGAGTGCCTTGAGGAGCCTTTAGTGGTATTTGAGTGAATATTCCCAGATTCAAACCCTATGAGATTGCCAGTGAGCGTAAAACACAATTAAACAATTAATAGAATTATTGTGTAATGGGTGCCATGAAGGGCCATTGTTCAAAGACCTTCTTGACTTCCTTCTGATGGAGCTCCAATTACTGCTGCCACCAAGAGTGACAGAGGCAAAGCATATTCTGCCTCCTATTTTGTTTTTTTTTTAAATAAAAGTGAAACTTGTTTATTTTAGAAACATTGGGAAATTCAGAAAGAAAAGGGCAAAGAGAATTTAAATCACCCATAATGCTACTGGAAACACTTTGAATGTGTTTTTTTCCAGTCTTTTTTATTTTTATTTCAGTATAGTTGATATACAATATCATGTTAGTTATATTAGTTTCAGGTATACAATATAGTGATTTGACATTTTTGTACCTTGCAATGTGTTTACCCCACTAATTCTAGTAATCATCTGTCACCATGGAAACTTATCACAATATATTGACTATATTCCCCTTCACTTTTTCACCCATCTCTCCACCCCCTCCATGCTGGTAACCATCCCTTTGGTCTCTATGAGTCTGTTTTTGTTTTGTTTCTTTTGTTCATTTGTTTTCATTTTTGTTTTTAGATTCCACATATAATTGAAACCATGTGGTATTTGCTTTTCTCTGTCTGACTTATTTCACTTAACATAACACTCTGTAGGTCCATCCACGTTGTCACAAATGCAAGATTTCATCCTTTTTATATACCATTGTGTGTGTGGTGTGTGTTTGTGTGTGTGTGTGCATGGACCACATTTTCTTTACCCATTTATCGATTGATGGACTCCTAGGTTTGCTTCCATTATCTTTGCTATTGTAAATAACACTGCAATGAACATACGGATGCATGTATCTTTTCAAATTAGTGTTTTTATTTTCTTCAGGTAAATACCCAGAAGTGGAATTGCTAGGTTGTATGGTAGTTCTAGTTTTAGTTTTTGGAGGGCTCTCCATCGTGTTTTCCGTAGTGGCTGTCCCAATTTCCAGTCTGCCATCTTCTTTTCTCCCTTCCTCAAACCCTCTCTCCACTCATGAATTCCACCCCTCACCCCAGATGAGATGTGAGCATCCGTTCCCTAAGTCTTGAGCTCTTAAAAGATTCATCCCCTCCAGCAGCATTCCAGAGGCTTCTAACCATCCAGTCCTACCGCCTCTGTTTCCCCTCTCCACTCACAGGGCTCCCCAAGGATCTTCAGGCTTCACTGGGCTTGAAGAGTAGGAGAAACTGAGTAGAAGGCCATGTGTGCCTTTGTTGCAGGGATCAGGACTGAGGTGGCTGTAACTACAACCCCCACCCTCAGCTGGAATGCATGCAGCTCCATAAAGCATCCCTATGAAGAAGGGGGGGGTTACAAAAATCCTGTTGGGATTTAACATGGGTGTGTGCTAAGCCTATAAAACAGTTCAAACGGAAATGGCACCTTTAAATATTTTGTCTTCCAATCCATGAATGTGACGTATGCCTTCATTTAGGGGGGTGGGTCTTTATTAAATATTGCTCAATAAGCTTTATATTTCTCTCTACTGAGGTCTAAATATTTTTGTCTCATGTATTTTTAGATTATTGATATTTCTTGTTTGTCAAATACATTTTGTACATATTTTTAAAATTATGTTTTAAATTTAGTTTGTTACTCATATACGTAAACTCCCCCCTCCAAAAACAAGAAATAAAGATACCTTAGTTCTTTTGTCCCAGAAACCCTTCATTTGAAATGAGAGGTGTATCTGTCATGATTTATAAATGAATTAGTTAATTAATAAATCAATCCCTTTCGACTTAGCAACTATGGGACTTTATCCAACAGAAAGAAAAAGCATGGTTTTTAAGAGTATATGTTCATGGATGTTTACTGCAGCATTGTTTGTGAGGGCAAAAAACTGGAAATAGAGTGAATATCCATGAATATGGAAATGATTGATATGTTAGGTACAGCCATACAAAGGAATATTATGTAGCCATTAAATGGAAATGAGTGATAGCTATTCTGTGAAGAGATTTCCATGAAGTATTTATTGAGAGAGAAAAAGAAGAAGAGGAAAAGTATATTTTATGATCCATTTTTTATAATTATATACACACACACGTGTATGTTTAGTGATAAGTATTTAGAGAAAAATGTGTACCTGTGTAAAAGATGTAAACATGCTCAATTGTTAACATGGAGGAAGGTGGGAATGACATGGCTGGTGGGAAATGTGAGATGTGGGAAGTATAGCTTGGGCATATCACAGTGTTTATGGGCTTTTGTGAGCTGGGATGGACATCTCACTTTAACGATATTATTTTGGTGGAAAAAATGTGTTCCAAAAAGCTGAACCACAGGGTTCTGTATTAATGGAGACTGGTGGGTAAATACCAAACACTAACTGATCATTCAAATTATACGTATATTTGAGTGAAACGGGCAGTTTGTGTTTCCCTCAGAGGCAGTCCAATTTTCAGTTATGTTTTCACAAAAACAGTTGCATTTTCTCAACAAAGCCCAGTAAACAGCAGGGTGGGCAGGCGGGAACACATGTGGCCACACACACACACACACACACACACACACATGCATGTGTGCACACAGGGACTTACGCACACACACATACACATGCACACACACGTGCAAGCATGCGTGCCTGAACACTGTCGGCAGGGTGGAGACCGCACCGGATCACAGAGTTTCTGAGGAATTGCTGTCATCACAGCAGGATAAATCTTTTGAGTTAGAAGAGACCCAGATATGATTTCCTTCACTTCCATATTTCTAAGGAAACAAGAGTGAGGCCCAGAAGAGTGAAATGACTTGGCTAAGATCATATGGTTATTTAGAAGCCAAGTGGGGAACCTGGACTCCAAGGTCTCATGGATACCAGTCCCAATTTGTGAAGTAGATACAGCCTGCACCCTCTAGACGAGCTGCACTTGCCCTGAATGTCTCCAGGCAGAAATCCTTTAGCATGAGGAAATATCCTGTTGAATTGAAGATGATTGCAAGGATGTAGTGCCTGGTGGGCACAGCTGATAGTAGGTTTGAACATAGATGGGATACAAATAAACTGTTGCTTATCTATCCATACGTGATAGAAGTGGGTAGACTTGACCTCTGCTGGTTTGATGTAGTGGAATGATTTACTCTCAGTCAGTAAATGGAGCGTGGAGACTCTAGCAAGCAGGCCTGTGTGCTTTGAATTTGAAGCAACACTGCCAAATCCTTACTGATTTGTAGTCAATAAACAGTAATTGTGAAATGGTGCATTTGAGTGATTCTGGTAAAAAGTGCACTTGAAAGAAAATCCTCCTGACTGCATGCTGCAGAGGCACTTTATTATACAAAGGTAAATGTGCTCAGATGGCATCAGAATGTCCCTTGGCTGAATAATGAGTGTGATGATGATTCTCCAGCTGCTTAGTGAAATGTGCTATTCAAAGGGCTGATGGTTTTCAGTTTACGTTTTTGCAAATTGCTGGTTCCTCTTTACTGAGGGTTTTAGCTTGTTGTTTGTTTATTTATTATTTTTATTCACTTTTTTAGATTTTATTTTTAATTGGGGGTTTGGGGGAGGGGAACAGTGTTGGGGAATTGGGGAAGGAGAACAGCCAAGTTGTTGTCCTTCAATCTTAGTTGTGGAGTGCGCAGCTAGCTCAACTTCAAGTCCAGTTGCCATCCGGCTGCCCTTTGGCAGCTTGTGGCAGCTCACCTCAAGGTGCTATGTTCAATCTTAGTTGCAGGTGGGTATAGCCCACCATCCCATGTGGGAATCGAACAGGAAACCCTGTTGCTAAGAGCGCACGCTCTAACTACTAAGCCATCCGGCTGCCTGTAGGCAGCTCAGGGCAGCTCAGCTCGGGTGCAACTCACTGGCCCATGGGGGAATCGAACTGGCGACCCTGTTGCTCAGAGCTTGTGCTCTTAACCAACTGAGCCACTCAGCCGGCCCTAGCTTGTTTTTTATTGAAGTGTCATATTGCAACAGGAGATATTCTCACTGTATTCCCTCCCCTTTTGTGCAATAAATACTCAGGAACATTTATTAGTTGCCAGTCATGTGACAGGTACTGTGCTAGAGGCTGGGGATTCAGAGAGACAAGACAGGAATTAACGGTTAGTGGGCAAAACAGATTTTTTTTTTTTGAAAAAAATTATATGTAGAGGTTTTCCAGGAGTGTAGGGGTGGTGGGATCAGTGAGGCCTTCTCAGAGGAGGTGACTGTTAGCTGGGGCCTTGCAGGATGCATAGGAGTTCTCAGGCAGCTCAGAGGGGAGTTGGAAGGAGAGAGCACTGCAGTAAAGAGAAGCACAAAGCCTTGGAATTTCTAGAGTCTGGCCAGTCTAAGGAAGGATAGGTGTGCCTGGAAGGAAGGGGTGTGGTAGGAGGGGCAGGGGTTCATAGAAACCAGGCTTAAGAAGTAGGCAGGGGAAGATCCTGAAGGCCTTGTTTACTATTTTGAGGCATTTTCTTGTTCCATGAAGATGGGTACCCACCTTATAAAGGGTGGGTTGCAACAAGACTTGCATTTTAGGAGGTGGATTAGACTCTAGCAAGAGGTTAGGTGCTACTGGGGGCAGGGAGCCTGGATCAGAAATACTGATTTCTTCAATAACCAGAAGGATAGGTTAATTTCTGTTTGTGTTCTTAATTGACCTTAAGAAAAAACATACAGTCAATAAAAAAGTCTTGGAGCCTTGATCTTGAATGATAGTCCAAAGTAGTCTTCCAGGGCTCATGTAATCAGCAGGAATATTAATTAAGTATTTGAGTTAGAAGTCTTTGAAATGTAAGTATTTTAAAAACATATATACTTTAGAGACTGGGGCTTAGTTTATTAGAATCCGTCCCTTTTCTAGATTTATGATACTGTTTATCCTTGTAGGTGATACTGTCTGGAATCATAGGATTAACCACTTGGAAACGGCCTATGATACTCCTGGTATGTACTGTTCTTATAAATTGTTACTCTTTGTAAAATGTGCTCTTTATGAAGCCTGTTGAAATAAACCATCGAAGACATGCTAAAGCTTCCTTGTTCATTAAAAAAAGAGGTTAACAAGGGACAATATTAGAAGTCAGATGTTTTCGTACCAGTAAAGTAAGAGGATAATTTTGCCACTTCTCTGATTCACTATAAGTTTCTTATATACCCAATGCTAAATATATGTTTCTAGTTCTAGGATTAGACCTATTGTAAAGATATAATTAAGAAAAAAACGACAACAGTTTCCTGTGGATATTTTAAAGCATGTACACAAGTGGAGGGAATAATATAATGAACTCCCTATACTGATCACCCAGCTTCAATAATTGTGTGTCCATTAATGGCCAATCTTATTCAGCTAGACCCTCACCCATTCCCCCGACCCTCCATATTCTTTTTTCCTCCATATTCTTTTGAAGCAAACCTCAGTTATTAATCTTGACTATATAATTTTTAATTGTTATAACGCTTTGGTTGGTCAACCTCAGAATTTCATTGCTTATATTTTCTATATTCTCACTTTATCACACAAATGTTCTTTTTATGATAATCTAGACATATGTGGTGACTTTATTATTTCATTGTTGAGGTAAATTCACATAATATAAAATTAACTGTTTTAAAGTGTATAATTCAGTGGCATTTAATACACTCCCAATGTCCATCCTTTGTTTTTATTTGCTTTGTTCTTTTGATTCAAGGACTACTATACAAAATAGACAATAACCAATGGAGTTGCCAACTTGCAAGAATGAAGTAGATAGAGGCTGTAGGAAATTTGATTTGAAGTATACTTAAGTTTTTTTCTATATTTAACTTTTTTTCCCACTTCATTCATTTTGAAATAGGGTTAAATAATTTTCTTGTCATTTTGTGTATATACTTAGCAATTTATCTTAAGCAGACCACTGTTTGCTAGATGATGGGTACTATAAATACAAAATTAGTAAAATTCTTAAAATACAAGGAGAAGCAGCATATTGTAGCATACAGTCAGAAAAATGGATCCTAATACTGTGTTGATGGCCTTGAATAACTAAAGCGTTTTTAGGCCCACAAGATAATTTAGGCAACATTTTACCAGTCTATCAATTATTGCGTTTAGTGAAACTACACTAATATTTCTGGAAGGGGTAAACTGTTGATGCAGTATGTTATTATATTAGCAGGACAGGAGAAAATGGGGCTTTGGGTGAGTTTTATGGCACATGGTATGAGTGTCTGAGGTTTGTTTTGCAACAACTTTCTAGGTTTACAGCCTTCTTAAGAAGAATTTTGGATGGTGTTCAATGTTTATATTAATATTTGGTTGTAGGAATAGAGCTGCAATAAACAGGGGTGCATATATTTTTTCAAATTAGCGGGGGTGAAAAGTCTAACAATTACATTGTTTTGTACACCTGAAACTAATAAAAAAAATTGGTTATAGGAGTCATCTTTTTCTATTGGGTCAATATTGAAATGCTCAATAATATAAACTTCAGGTATTCAAATTAAATGAAAATCAGAAATTCTCTAATGCTATTTGCACTTTAAAAATTCCAAATGGTAAAGAGACTCTAAGTATGTACTGTGGATAAATATTAAGAAAGCCCATCTTTTAAGACCTTAATTTCTTTAACATTGTTTTCTTTTGGAAAGGTGCCTTATAAATTTATTTTGTGAGCTCAAGCAACTTTAAATGAAAATGATCTTAATAAAAATGTACCTTTATTACATTCCTTTAAATTTAGTTCTAATCTTTGTTGGTAAGTATCTGTACTTGGTCACAAAGTTTTAACCAGTTTGTACATCCTATGCTATGCTCTGCTTTTTCTGATTAATATTAAATTAATTAAGTGTATATCAGTAAATATGTTTCCATGTATGAGGCTATCACTGGAAATTGCTAAGGAGCATTATGTTATATTTCTGTATTATCATCATTTATAAGCCTGTTAGGCGTCTGAGCTTCATATTTTGACTATTATGCATTATGTATTTAGAAGGTCATGTAGAGATTGTTTTCAAATGTTAATTAACATCAATTTATAAAGAAGATAAGTTAACTGATGAGAATTGTAAAAGGGAAAACTTTCTGAATATGTCAATAGATCATCTCAGCCTTAGTCAATATCATGAATGAAAAATCCTCAGTCCACGTAAATCTTAATAGCATAGCATTATAACCTGTGCCAAATGCTTTTGTTATGTTAAAAAACGAAAAAAATCTTGTGATATAATGAAAGAAACTGGACAGGCCAGTTAGACACTCCTAATTTGAGTTCTATCTCATTCCCTAAAGGCTGTATAACTGTGCAAACCACTTTACATTTTTGAGTCTAGTTTTCTTTTCTGAACAGAGGGAATAATCTCAAGACACCAAGGGGTGGATCTANCTGGCCTCCCCACCCTTAGTGGATACCTTATTTTTTGTTGTTGTTTTGCCCACCCCACCCCCTTCCTGAGCTTAGGAAATGCACCCATGGATGATTTTTGGTGTGAAGGCTGTGCTCCATGAGAGAAGCCAGTAGGGCCTTGTGGGTCTGTTTCTCGAAGACCCAGGCTTGGCTGCTCAGAGTTCCAGCCCTTCTCCCCTTCGCGTCCCACACTCTGCCCACAGATCATTCGACTCGTACACAGCCAGGCTGTCTTACGTGAACCCAGGACCTTCCTCCTCTAGCTGTTTGTTGGCCGGCTCCTTCTCTTCCGGGTCAGCTCAGCAGTTACTTCCTGAGAGAGACCTTCCCCGACCACCCTGATAAACAGAGGCCCCTTGTCACTGCCACTCACCATGTCCCAGCACTGGATATTGGCTTCGCAGCCTGTAGTTAGCCTGTGTGCTGTTCGGTTACTAGTTGTCTGTCTCCCCCGGTAGATAGTCAGTTCTGTGAGAACCGGGGTCTCGTCTATCTTCTTCACCCTACGTCCCCAGGGCCATTGCGCTCAATACCCAGCTATTATTGACGATGGAGTTAATTTGGCAGTCAATAAGAAATTTAGGTCCTAGTTGAGTTCTCAAAGTTTCTCTCTTTTGTCTTAAATTTCTCTCACTTGCTTTTGTTCTCTGGAACTTTGTATTCTTCCCCTTTAAACGTCAGGGTGATTAGGGAGTATTTTGGTGATAGAGATTGCAAGGGGGCTGGTTAGTCTTTCCAGGGACCTTTGAGAGGCAAGCTGTCCTCATTTTGAGTTGTTGGATGCACAGCCATCTCGAACAGTTGAATACTTCCTTTTGAGAACCATTTACATTTGTGCTCCCTCTTTTGTGATTATTTCGGTGATTACGTCAGGTTTTATACTGGTTTGAACAAAGAAGGGCAGTTTGACCTAGTTCCTTCTAACTCAAGTTTTCATGAAAACTCAAAGTTGGAAGCTCTCATTCACTGGGTCCCTTTCCTTATACTGATAAAATACTCTTGTGTCCAGAACACAAATAGTAATGTTGGGAAATAGTTTGTAAGTATTTATAGCTACTTTTGGCTATGATGGGGATTAAGGGTGTGTGTGCATGTGCAGGCGTGTGCGTGTGTGTGTGTGTGTGTGTGTGTATGCACAGTATTATAGGTTGTTTATTTTCCATCAAGAGCAAACATTTTCCATTTTTAAAGAATGTTCTTATTTTATCTAGATATCATTCCTTTTTTATTCTAATAAAATGTTTTATAAATCTTTAGAAATCACAGACTCAGTGCTAGAAATGACCCCAAAGATTGTCTTGTTTAAGCACCTCAGTTAGAAAATGAAATTGTCTTAATAGGATGTTTTTCTTTGGTAGTTCATTTGGTAAGAATTGCCACGATGAAAGCCAGGCATTCTGCCTATAATTTTGGTTTCTTATGAAGTAGTAATTTGAGCTTTTTTTTTTTTCCTTGTGAGTTTGGAACAGATGGGATGAATATGACCTTAAAGCCGATACAAGGACAGCTTTATTCTTTAGCACCAAGAATGAAGGTTCCTCCCTGGTGATGTTCTTAGGTCACACCTGTGGTTTATTCTCAGCTGTTGATTTGCACCCTAGCCTGAGACTAGAAGAGGCAAATGAATTGGCTATTTAAAAAAATTATCCATCATTTTCTCTTCTAACTTCAAGACTATAGTATTTAGAGCACAGCCTCATTACCCAAAGAAACTGAAAAATGCCTTAAATAAAATATACATACGTTCCCCCTGCTCCCCGCCATCTAACAGTTCAAGTAGGTTAGGCTAGCAAGATGGTCTGCTCCATGAAGCCATCTGGGAATTCAGGTTTTTTCTATCTTGTCATGCCTTGAAGGGGCAGCCATGGAATACCTAGATACTTTATCAAAAGAGACTGAGGAATTAGCCTCACCAGTTAGTCAGAAGTACTTACAGGTGGGTTATGCTGCAAGATAGATGGTGGTCCTTTCATTGCTGATGATATGAAGAATGGGAGGGGTCAGGATACCCACATGCAGTTTACAAATCTGTGCGTTTATAAAATGGATTCTGAAGTTCTGGCTTTGTACAGTATTGTTCTTTCAAGTGTATGTCATGATTGTCAATAATTTGGAATGAGCTCTGCTTTGAGAGTTAAAGAAACCTGCATTTTAATGCTGACATGTTACCACTAATTACTGGGTGACTTTGGTGAAATCCCTTGATTTCTATTTCTGTAAAATGAGGAGCTTAGATCAGAACCATCTTTTAAGAGTCCTTCTAGCTCTCATATTATAGGTTTCCAGACACTGTTTAGGTACCTGGATGGCGATTTAACTTTAGATGGGCATTTTTAACAGGCTGTTGTAAGGCCCTATGATGATTTCACTCTTGGTTTTTAAAGGCATAACAATCGATGACTGTTCTCACTCTTCAGAATTATGAATAATACTGTCTTGCTTGTATATAATGATTAAGAGTTTACCAGGTTCTTTTATATACCTTTCTCATGTGATTTATTTGGCAGGTATCATTTCTATTTTATAGATAAGGGACCAGGGGCTCAGGAGTTAACT